GTCAAACGTTTTTAAACGGAGACCCCCCCTTTTTTTTGTTCAATTCCCAGCGACACCCCATTTAAATATCTTTCAACCTTACAACTCGCACTGATGTTGACAATTAAAACGTTAATTAAAATGTATAAATAATTTTAAAAAATGCATCAGGTTTAAATCTTTCCACAGCGTCACCAGGTTCAGAATTCCCCCCCCCCAAAAAAAAACAATTAAAAAGATAAATCAATTCTCAATGTAGCATTAAATAAGTCTCATCAAAATAATTTAAAAGCTACTTGAATAGATGTAACTAAGGCTTTTGATTCTGTTGACCGTCGAACTCAGTACCTTTCTTTCATCTACACCAAAGGATACAAAAATACATAAATACTAAAACTACTAAAAATACTAAACTTTAACTCCATATCATTCGCCCACAGACCGCCATTCGACTCCATGACTATTATCATCTGTCACTTGGAACTCCTCACTGACCTTTCGGAGGTCGCTCGAACACCGTTTGACAATCCCTGTTTTAATCTCTGAAAGAATAAAATCCTTGATTCGTGTCTTACGAAGGAGAACAGATAGTCCTCCTCTATAGCAATAAATGCTAGGCAATCTCCTCAAAGTTGAAGAAGAGACTTGAAGCAACAGAAATGTGGTTCTAATTCTACAGAAGGATGCTGAGAATACCATAGACCGAACATGTCAGCAACGATGAAGTTATAGAGAAAATGGAAACTTATATTTAATATAAGAACGAGACAGTTGAAATTTCTACGGCACATAATTAGGAAAGAGGACTTGGAAATTTGATACTCATATGACATATTGACGACAAGATGTAGAAAGGAAAACATAACCTACCTAGAGAGTTTGTGTAAATGGATAACAAGACAAGGATTAGGAGAGATAATGAAAAGACAAAATTTATTAAGAGCTAAAAAGGACAGGAAATTGTGGAGAGCTATAAACGCCAACGTTCTGAAGGGAAGAAAAACAAAATATTGACAAAGGATCTATATTTCATGTAGTTGCTTTATTAGATGAACCATACAGATAGTTATAAAAGTTATCTGGCATGATATTTAGACTATTTACATTATTCGGACTATTGTCCTCATCTTTGTTGCCATATTTATCACGTTTCGGCCGTTGAACGCTCCGGCCTTCTTCGGGTGGTTGGAATGTCGAACTGAACCCTTTATTTCGATCGCTGGGGTAGACTGTTCTAGTTCCACGTTCCATGTCTAATGGATGTCAGTTATTAATTATCCACAGTGGATAAAGGCGTTGGTTAGATCCAGTGACAGTACCCAAAGAGTTGTGGATTCAATACCTGATTAAGGCACTGGAGGTGAATTAACAGGAGATAATTGATAATTGACATCCATTAGACATGGCATGTGGAACTAGAACAGTCTAACCCAGCGATCGAAATAAAGGGTTCTGTTCGACATTCCAACCACCTGAAGAAGGCCGGTGCGTACAACGGCCGAAACGCTGTGATAAATATAGCAACAAAGATGAAGACAATAGTCCGAATAATGTAAATAGTGTACATAGTACCTCATCTCAAAAATTTTGACAGATAATGACATCTAGATATTTTTCAAAATCTTTCTTTTTTTATAAACAGTATGATTCAAAATGTCTTTTATAATTTTATCTTTGCTCGTTCATGTCTATAATTTAATGTAACTGTATAAAATATCCTGAAACCATCTGATTTGAAATTGTTTTTTTTTTTTTTTGATCAACAGGAATCGTAATTAGTTATCTCGACAGCATGTCCAGAAGTGAAGCCACAAACGAAAAGTTTCTTTAGTTTCTTTTATCTAGGAGTCATGAGTTTAATCCCTGGATCAGGTAGTGAAATACGAGTTCATCAGGAATGAAAAATAACTGGCATCACAGTGACAAAATAATAGAAGAATAACCAACAATCTCAAACCAGCCAAACAATGGATAGCTGATGATGCCCAGAGGATATCTGGCCGAAACGTTATATCAACCAAGATAAGAACAATAGTTCGAAACAATACAATCATATTAAATAAAAAAAGAGTTAGTAAATACGTTATTTTATACTGTATTCAAGGATTCTACCAATTCTACTCGTTTAGACAGATTGTAATATCAACCAAACAATGGATACCTGATAATGTCTAGAGGGTACCTGGCCAAAACGTCGTATCTATAATAACATCTGTAACAATGAAAAGAAATAGTTTGAAATAATTAAAGTATAGATGATTTCATATCTTCTGTTTTGTGATGTAGGATCCTTTTTTATATTAACAAGGATATTAAAAAGTAACGTTTTCCCATGATGCATGTTAAATGACAAAAGTAGACATCTAATCGTAGCTACCTAACGTTCAACCATAAAGGCATTTATGAGCATAGCCTCTTAAACACACGCACGCAGACACACACACACACACACGCACGCGCGTGCGCACACGCACACACACATACTCACTCTCTTTTTCATCAATTTCCAAAGAATTATAACTATCAAATTATGTCCACCTGTTTATAAACCTGTGAATATTTTTTCATCCTCTTTGTTACGTTTGGTTTGGCTTGTTTTACGGCATATCAACACCTCAATGGGTTATTTAATGCCGACAAGATTTTTATTGTTGGTAATATTTTTTTTCAAAAATGTATTCCTGCTAATATTTTTTCCAAAAATGTATTCCTGCTTATATTTTTTCCCAAAAATGTATTCCTGCTAATATTTTTTTTTTTTTTTTTGAAAAATTCATTGTGGGTAATCATTTTTTTACAAAAATGTATTGCTGGTATTACAACCTATTTTTACATTTGCATAGTGTTTTGACTCCAGTTTGGGGGTTAACTATAGCTGAAATCCTAACAGGTGCTACAACCCCGGGTCAGGGTGGACTTGTGAACACCGGCAGTTAAGAGGTGGTCCAACGGTCATCAAAACCTTATCAGAGGCCTTGATGTTAGATTTAATTTACCGTCTTACCCAGGACGCGGATGTAATTTATCGTCTTAGCCAGGACAATCTATGTTACAGTTGGCTGATTTCTTTTCAAATAAGAAATGTATGGCGCATGCGCATTTCTAGATGTTACATAATCTCTTTTTTCCTGTATTTGTATACAAGAGGTACTTGATCAGCAAGTTGAGTACGTGTTTGACGAGTTTGTCATTCGGCCATGACTTGAAATTCGTTTATGTGGCAACGTGTGTGTGTGTGTGTGTGTGTGTGTGTGTGTGTGTGTGTGTGTGTGTGTGTGTGTGTGATTATGTATGAGGGTTGGCTGGTCAATTCATAAAAGGTTTTCTTTTTTTTCTCTCCAGTTTTTCTAGTACAATTAAAGGATTTATACGATATACATCTGGCATTTTATTCATTTTTCGTCTCGTAGTGACCTAAATATATAAACTTTGAAAGCAAGGCTGCGGTTCGTGTATTTGTAAAGTTTGCGAATCACCGAATGTGTTTGCGAACATGAAAATGTAAATGAACGGATTTATGGAATGAATGAATGAATGGCTATTATTTCTTTAAAATGTAAATACCATTTCGGCACGTAAACTGACCAATGTTGATTTATTATGTATTTGAAAACAGACACTTTAAAAGTATACAGTTTCCAATTTATACAAATATATAAAGACAAAAGGGAAGAAAGAGCAAAGATAAGAAAAAAATATTACTCACCGTAATGTGGCGAACGAAAATATAATAAAAAATAAATAATAAAAAAAAAACTTTTATTTTTCCTCACTCTCCACAGCTCAGTCGGAGACAAAATATATAAATGCACAAAACAACTTAAAAATAAGTCGTTGCGCACATTTCTGTGTTTATTTTTTATACGTATTTATATGTTTTACCCTCGATTGAACCCTGAAGACCGATGAGCGAAAACCATTTATTTTGATTTTTGTTTATTAAATTTTTCGATTGACCACTATATAGAGAGTAATATTTTTTCTTATCCTTTCTCTTGCTCTGCCTTTGTTTTAATATATCTATATATATATTGTAATATATACTTTTAATATGTCCGCTTTTTAAAGTGACAAAAATTTTTGTACCCCATTATTTAACGCTAGCTTATTAAAATCCTGGAAGCAGATCCACAAAATTTGCTTTCGTATACCAAAGATTACTAAGATTTATATTACGAATGAATTCTGAGAAATTAGTTTACGATTAATGATGACAATGAACTAGGAGTTAGGTTAATAGGGTGTGAGCTATAGTTAAGGGTGTTTTAAGAGCCTTAGTCGTTTCAAGGCCCTCGTCTTCTGTTTTCTGGGTTTGCATTGATGATTTAAATACAATATGATCCATAATCTAATAATTTGTTTTACAATCTATATAATTTATAATCTATAATCTTATATATAATAATTTTATATATAATCTTATATAATCTTATAATCTCTTTTATCTAAAAGTTTTCTCTTGTTCTTTAATCTTGCATTCTAATTTGAACCCTTCTTTATATTTGCCTCGTTTTAATTATTTTTTGCTCTGCCTTTCTCACATGGAAATCGACAAGAAAATAATGACATAATTACATACTGACATTCTACACGACTACAAAGAAAAGGTTGGGAAGGAAACCTTCATCAGTACTGGAAACAGCGATAACAACTACTGGACCTGAGAAACCTATTATCTGGAAGAATTGTTTTAAGAAAAAGATTTTATATATTTAAACTGACAGCAGTACTGGCTGCCCGGCTAATGAATGTTAAATGTTTCTTCTTCTTCTTCTTCTTCTTCTTCTTCTTCTTCTTCTTCTTCTTCTTCTTCTTCTTCAACAAAGATGAGGATGATTAATAGATCAACAAAGATGAAGATAATTAATATTGTAACTTTAGAGTTAATTTTTTTATATGATTAAAAGATGTACGAAATATAGTTTTAAAATATTATTTAAATGTAAATATCGTTGAAATTGAAAAGAATTATTCTTTTTTATTATTCTTTATTTTAAATAAAATAGCTTATGGCCTCATTACGCTGAAACACTGGCTCCCGTACGATTACTGAAGTTAAACAATGTCGAGCCTGGTAAGTACCTAGACACGTAACCGCTTGGGAATATCAAATGCTGTAAGCTTAGATGTGCAGGTGGTGTAAGGAATAATGATTCAAAATTGTAAATCAGGAAGCCGAATTTCAATTCAAGCTGGGTTAGTTATATTCACTTGCACAAAAATTCCATTGGGAAACGTTATAAATCCACCTGTTCTCCCAAAAGCTATGCGTCATGTGCGTAGCCTGAATTCGAGTGAGCGTCTTTCTTTTTTGTCTTAAAAAAATATTTCAACACGCCATTCCTATTGTTGAATAATGTGAGGTTGATAGTGGGAGCGAGATGTTTTATATACAGGGCCTCTCTCACGCTCAGATGTTTCCGGTAATGTGATTCATATTGAACTTTCGTATTTTCGACCAGATTTTTTCGTAAGGGTTCTTGTAAATTGTGGGTAGCTAGATCTTTTTATAGTACTTTGATCAGATAAGTGACAGGTGTGGTGTCTTCTCATGGAGGTGGTAGTATGTCCGATATAAGTAATTGATTTATAACAAGAAACACTGTCTTGTACAGTGCAGTGAAATTGATACACTGTATTGGTCATCAGTAGTTTAGATTTGATGTGTTTATTTGGAATAATGACAATAAGGTTTAGTTGAATAATACATTTTAGATGCATCAAGGGTGGTCTTCAGTGATGCACTGTTCTCATCGCTAATTTCGGGTTTTACATCATATCGGCTCCAACAGCAACCCTGACCTGATTCTAGACGAGTCAGGCCGCCTCCTTGAAAGAGTCGTGCTACGCACCCCGACATTGCAAAGAACAGTAATCATACACTGAGAAAGACCGGACCACGACCGTTCTTATTGACATATGTCAGTCAGCGTCAACCAACGAGAACAGGGCTCCTCTCCTATACAGTGTTGTCTTTTTACTTCATCCCGGTTTCAATTTTCTGTAATATATTATAAGTTTTAGATGTTTTTCGGGATTTACGGCAGAAATATGATGTTTAGTGATTCTTCATATAGCGAAGTAAGTTTATAAGCTTATAAGTATTGTGTATCTGGTTGCAGTAAAATATGTTAAGGCTTTGTTGTGTGCTATTTTTATTACTGGTGTTATGTATTTTTTGTAAGAATAATTTTGTTTATCAAGTTGGGAAAATTATTGTTGTTTATTTTATGTGTTTCAGTTCACCAAGAAATATTCTCTCGGAAGAGGAATTTAGGTGTGTTCTGTTTAGGAAGTTTTTTTTATCACTGCTATTTTATATTTTTCCGGTCATTGGCTATCATAGTTTAGGAGACAAGAGTTCGTACTGGTGTTTTGTTTTGTTTTTTTGTTTTTTGTTTTTTGTTTGTTTTTTATACTGGTAGCTTTGGATTTTAGTTCTATATTGATTTCATGGAATGGAACTTTATTATTAACCATGAGTTCGTATGTAAATTTTAGCGTGGATTTTTTTCAAAAGTTGATTTTAGAATTATAATTTCGTCCTTATTTTTTATCAAAGCAAAAATGTCGTCAACATACCTTGTGGTTTGTCAGTTGTTTCAAATATTTGTTTTCAGTATGTGACATGTAAAGGTTAGAGAAAGCAGCACATAATGGTTTTCCCATGTTGACGCCATTGGTTTGTTTGGAGGTGTTGCCATTATGATCATAGAATGGTGTTTTCATGGTATATGCAAGGAGCAGTTTTCTAAGATTTTCTGGTCGAATTTTGGGCGGAAGGATTGATAGCTGCTTGTTGGTGCAGCCACTAATTATGTTGATTGTTTCTTCAACTGGGACGTCGGTAAAAAGGTTTTCAACATCGAGCGAAGCTAGGGTCCTACCTGTGGAATTTATTGCTTTCAAGGTATAGAGGAATTCGTTTGTTGATGCAATGCTGTAAATGTTAGATGTGTATGAAGAAATTATGTCATATAGGGTTTTTGTTAGCTGCTATAATGGTGTAGGTATTTGGGATATGACAGGACGGAGAGTAAAACCTGGTTTATAGGTTTTCACGTTACCGTATTCTGGTTGGTAATCACCGACAATCTTACTGATTTTTAACCTTCCGATTCTTTGCGTTATTGGCTGTAATCAGCTTGTTTAGGCACTTTTTATTGATTCTGTGGAATTTTTCCTTAATTTTGAGAATTTTGTTGTCATTTAGGATTGATTGTAATTTTTGGTTGTAATCTTGTCAGTTAAGAACCACATAATTATTTGTTTTCTTCAATATATCTAAATATATATTAAAATAAATTAAAAATTCAATTTAAAATTACAGTTGTCCCCTCTCCTTCATATGCATGTGTAATCACATGAACGTAAATATCACTTTAGTCCGATGTGGTACTAAAGGATGAAGCATATTCTTTTTATACTTTGTCATAAATTTTCCTAAAATTGTTTTGATATAAATATATATATATATATATCGTTCTCCCGTAAACATACTACCCAGGTCACCAATCGTAGCATTCTGAATCATGTTCCTAAACAATTGTACAGTGTTAGAAAAGGCTAGTTTTATTATTATTATTATTATTATTATTGTGTGCGGTAATTTATTGCGTGAGATTAATTTGAAGTTCCTAATTACCAATTACATCCGGGGTCTATGAATAAGAAGGACATTGTAGGAGAGTTATCTATGTATATTTGAGACGTTTCGTTTAGGGTATTTTGTGGTTGATATGTGCAGTTCCGCACAAAGTAATCTTTTCATAGTTCCGAGATGCTGATGTGTCCTAGGAATTTTAGTCACATGATTTTCGATACCCCACTTTATCATGTCGAATGTCCCTATCATAACTAGGATAATCGTAGTTTTAAGCTTCCGTATTTTTGTTACTTCGATTTGCAGGTCCTTATACAGTGTTTACCATCTGCCAATGCCTCATGAATAATGGACCATATATTGCTTTGATTGTGTGGAAAACAAAATACATATCAGAGACGCTACTTGGTTTCAGTGAGAAAGTATGTGTGTGTGTATATGTATGTGTATTACTTACTGTTGTAGCATACGTACGACCAATAATGGGTATGTCCCCATACACCTAAATACAGTAGTAAATATTGTATGTTGGTCTGCAGTTAAGAGCTTCATTGCGGAATTCACTTGACTCACTTCTAGCAGTTGACTAGTTCTACGCGCCGCTAGCGAATCTTATATGTGTTGTTCGTGTCTTAAGCATTATCGTTCATTATCAACATTCGTTTGATTATTCTATTCACTAACCTTCCCTAGGTTACAACACTTACCTTTTTATATTATTATTATTGTTGTTGTTGTTATTGTTGTTTTTGTTGTTATGGTGGTGATGGTGGTCGTGATTGTCGTGGTGCGTGGTTCCATCTTGCTTGAGAGTAATTTGAAGAGCCTAATTACCAAGTCCCTCCGGGGTCTATGAATAAAAAGGGCACGGTCGGAGTTATCTATGTACATTCGGGACGTTTCGTTTACATGCAGAGGATTTTGCGGATGTTATGTGCAGTTCCGCACAAAGTAATCTTTTGTAGCTCTGAGATGCTGATGTGTCCAGGAATTTTAGTCACATGACTTTCAATACCCTTATTTATTATTCCTCAAACCCTATCACGACAGGGATAATAATAGTTTTAAACTTCCACATTTTTGCTACTTTGATTTGCAGGTCCTTATAATTTGATAGTTTTGGGAATTATTTTTAGAAACATTGAAAACTTGTGAGCAAGTCATGTCAATTAGCAAGCAGGTTCCTTTTTTAAATCTTTTATGACCATTTCTAGTTTATTTGCATCAATGTTCCTGTCTGTGAGGATTGGGAAATTCCACCGTAGAACACCCCCGTCACTATTTGTGACTTCATTCGTGTGGTGTTTGTAGCATGTATCCGGGGTTTCAATTAATTAAACGCTTCACACTGACAATTAAACCATTGATACATAATTTAATGCTGTCAAAAATTTTATAATTAACAAATGCTTAATTTTATAAAGGGATATAAATTTCATGAAAGTTTATTTAGCAGTGAGAAAAAACTTAAAAATTCCCTCGCAAAGCTGTTTTGAATGTTTGTTTAATTCTGAAATCCCACAAACGTTGAAATTTCTCAATTCATTTCAATAGAAATTCAGATTTGCATCTGAAAAACCTGGGAAAATGTTACAAATAAAATAAAAAAAATACTCATCTAGCTGATTTCATTTATGGATGTAATAATAAAAATAAACCTTTTGTGACGAAATGTCGAATATAGGTTGAGGATGCTAATGTTTATCTAGGGGAAAGCTTGAACCCACTTTGCACTCTGCTGTTAGATTAACTGATATCATGATAAAATCTCTGCTCACTGGAATGCCACGAGGATTAATGAAGGCGATGGCTGGTGAATGTACACATTGACAAACTATTCTATCATCTTAGCTTCTTTTCTTTTTATGTGCCATGTCCTTTCAGGACGTAGACGATCATGGCTCTCCACCTCCCTCTATCCCTTGCAGCTCTCAACAAGTTCCTTCCCTCTGCTTCCTCCCCTAGACTACGTTCTGTCATCTACTTGTCCGCCAGGTATATCACGCGTTGTTTTCCCTTGTCTCACTATTCCTCTATTCGACCCGTGAATATCAGATTCTCCAGACCCCTCCCTCTTCATTATGTGTCCCAGGAATTCAGCTGCCACTTCCTGGTATTAAGTATAAGCCTCCTTGTTTCCAACCTCTCATCGTTGTTCACACGCTCGGTCCATGATATTCTCAGCATCCTTCTGTAGAACCACATCTCTATCGCCTCGAATGCCTGCTTCATCTTTGAGGAAATCCTCCAACATTCACTGCCGTAAAGAAGAAAAGATGTCACGTAACAGCTCAGTATTCTTTTTTTTTGTTACTAAAGGAATCCTTTTGTCTCGTAGTACTCATCCCAGCTTTTGGAATATGTCCTTGGGAATCCCAATACGTCTACGGATTTCAGTGTCGCGTTTACCGTCCTCTGTCAAGGCGCTTCCTAGATATTTAGTGTCCCCGACATGTAAATCGCATTTCGGGCTCATCCTTTTACTTTTGCATTCTGTCTTCTTGTAGTTTATGCTTAG